GTGATGACCCGGCCAGTCGTCTCATGACTTGCCGCTCCGTTTCCCCTATTTCTTCTTCTTATTGCTTTGTCTATCAGTTTTATATATGATCGGGTTGGTTGGCTCGGGTTTGGAAAGGATTTGGTATAGTTTGAGACACTTAGTCTCTTTTAAGGAAGCTTAAGTTGGAAAAGTCAACCGGATATTGACTTATGTGTTAGAGGGCTCGGATGTGAGTTCCGATAATTCGGATAGCTTCGGGAGGTAATTTGGGACTTAGGTACATGATCGTAATATGTTTCGGAGGTCCGAAGTAGATTTAGGATTGAATTGGCGAAATTGGTTTTTTGGCGTTTTCCTGTTGATAGGTGAGATTTTAATATAGGGGTCCAAATGGAATTCCGGGAGTTGTAGTAGTTCCATTATGTCATTTGGGATGTGTGTGCAAAATTGCAGGTCATTCGGATGTGGTTTGGTTGGGTTTTTTATCAAAAGCGTAATTTAGAAGATTTTGAAATTCTTAGGCTTGAATCCGATGCGAATTTGGTGTTTTGATGTTGTTTTGAGCGTTCCGAAGGTTGGAACAAGTTTGAATGAGGTTATGGGATATGTTGGTATGTTTGGTTGAGGTCCCGGGGGCCTCGGGTGAGTTTGGGTGGTCAATCGGACCATTTCATGATGTTTGGAATTTCAGAAAAACTGATGAAGTGTTGCAGAGAATTAGACCTTCGCGTTAGCAAGTAGGTCCTCGCGTTCGCGAAGGGTTAGCTGGAGAAGGCTAAGATTTTGGCCTTCGCGTTCGCGAGGAAGGCTCCGCGTTCGCGAAGGGCTGGATGTTTATGCATTGCGTTCACGAGGAAAGCTCTGCGTTCGCATAGAGGAATTTGGTCAGCTGGGCTTGAGGTGTTTTATTCATCGCGTTCGCGAGAGAAGTAACGCAATCGCGAAGGGTCAAGCTGAGGAGCCATCGCGTTTGCGATGGGCAGGTCACGATCGCAAAGAAGAATTTTTGGTCAAAATTATTTTGTGCTTCGCGAACGCGAGGCGTTGACCGCGTTCGCGAAGAAGGAAATGAGGCCTGGGCAAAATATTTAAATAGTCGTCTTGTCCGCGATTTTAGGGTTTATTTTTACCATTTTTGAGTGTTTTCGGAGTTTTTTGAAGAGGATTGTAGAGGGATTAAAGAGGAATCATTTGGAGGTAAGATTCATGGACTCAATACTCGATTCTAATATGAAATCTACCTAATTAATCATGGAAATTAAGCTTAAAATTGAAGAACTAGGGCTTGAAATTGGAGACTTAGAAATTGGGATCTGAGGGGATGTTTATGGTTGGATTTTGGTGCTTTTGGTATGAATGAACTCGGGGAGTGATAAGGAATACATTGATGTGAATTTTATCGACTTCTGAGATGTGGGCCCGGGGGTCAGGTTTTGGTAATTTCGGGATTTAAGTTGTAAATTTATTATTTTTGCTTGGACTTCGTTCCCTTAGCATATTTTGACGTTGTGATTATGATTTTGGATAGATTTTACGCGGGTGGAGGCCGATTCGAGAGGCAAAGACGTCGCAAGCTAGAGATTTGACCAGATTGAGGTGAGTAATGATTGTAAATGATGTCCTGAGGGTAAGAAACTTCGGATTGCACATCGTTGTGCTATATTGAGGTGACGCACACACTAGATGACGAGCGTGGGGTCGTGCACTGTTGGTGATTGTGACTTAGTCCATCCCGAATGACTATTTTACCGCATATTTGATTGAAAACTATTTGCTATCGTCATGTTTTGGGCTGAATGTCATATTTGGGCCTCGTGCCAACTATTTGAACCCTTAGGGGATTTTTATTGATATTTTATTATTGTTTTGACTTTATACTTGAACTCAGTCATGTTATATTCTATTGTTTCATAACTCAGTCATGTCTACTCTACTTTAACACTTAAAATGATATTTTTAACTGATATTTTGAGCTAAGCACCATGTTTTACTGTTGCCCGAGTGGCTTGTGAGATTCTGAATGAGTAAGGCCGAGGGCCCATGTTGTGAGGAAACACTGATTATGAAAATGAGGCCGAAGGCCTGAGATTTGTATGTCACGAGGTGGCTTGTTGATATGAGGCCGAGAGCCTAATGATGATGCCACGAGATGGCTTGATATTGTGCTTGGGCCGTAAGGGGCCCCTCCAGGAGTCTGCACACCCCTAGTGAGCGCTGGTACCCATTGTGATGTGAGATATTGCCCGAGGGGCTATCCTTTATGTGTTTATCTTTTCTTTTTGCCTGTCAGTTACTTGCTTAATTGTTAAAAAGGCATTTTATGAAGTTTAAACTGAACTTAGTGACTTTACACATCTTTACTGTCTCACTGTTTTTACTGGTTTTTACTACTTCCTTATAGCCTGTTATGTGCCTTACGCGATTTTGTACTTCTCAATCTTTATTTATGGTTATTACTCACTAAGTTGGAGTACTCACTTTACTCCCTCTACCCCGTGTGCAGATTCAGGCGTTGCTAATCCTGCTAGCGAGGGTTGAGAGCTCCCGGTAGATTTCGAAGTTCACAAGGTAGCTGCTTGGCGTTCGCAGTCCCGTGTTTCTCCCCTTTATCTCATTTCTATCTCTTTTCAGTTATGTTGTAATAGCTTGGTAGTCATTTCAGACTTGTAGTGTATTGATAGATGCTCATGACTGGTGACACCCCGGTAACGGGCTGTGTTGAGTTTATTTTCCGCAAACTGTTCGGTTAACTGCTTACCTTTGTGTTATTTATTACGTTTTACACTTAATTCTTATTGTTTAATTGCTTAAAACTGGAATGGGAAAGTGTCGGCTGGCCTTGCAATCATGAGAGGCGCCATCACGACCGGGTCCGGGTTTAGGATCGTGATAGTAATGGGATCCACAACTGACCTCTCAATAAAAATAAGAGATATTTGTAACAAAAAAACTTGGTGCTTTGATAATTTAAGCCTTGACCTGCCTAACAATATCAAGGAGAATATCTCTAACACTAAAATTCGCAAGAAATGGCCTAACAAAGACATCTATATATGGTCCTTAAATACAAAAGGTTTTTTCACATCAAAATCATGTTATACCTTAGTAGAACCACCTTTAGCCAATCAACTAGACTTCTCTTGGATTTGGAACCTAAATTGCCTTAATAAAATTAAATTTTTCTTGTGGCAGTGTCTTTATAATAGACTACCATGCCGGAAATATCTCTCACAAATTGGCATGAATATTGACCCATTGTGTCCTATTTGTAACTGTCAAGAAGAAGAGACTATAATCCACATCTTTCTTCGTTGTCAAGCGGTAAATTCCTTTTGGGAAAAACTAGGGTGAGATAAATCAAATAACAATAACAATAAGCATTGGCTCCTTCAAGTAAAAGGCTTAGATTTTACCCTTGCAAATAACCTTCTGAACTGGAGTTCTTTCTTCCCTTTTGCCATTTGGCATATTTGGCTCAATAGAAATAATAACAATCAAAACAACACGGACTATCCTATTAATATTAACCATATCATCCAAAAAACAACAGAATTTATGCTTCTCACTGAAAAATGCCCTAATACACATACCAAAATCCCCATTCAGATTAAATGGAACAAGCCACCTAGAGGGTGGTTTAAACTAAATATCGATGCTAGTTTTAAAAATCACAGCGAAAAAATTGGCCTTGGAGGAGTAATTAGAGATACCCATGAAAATTGGATAGTTGGATTTGCTAAAACTACCCAGGCTATTGGATCACTACAAGCATAAATGAAAGCACTCATGGAGGGGCTAAAAACAACACAAGAATGGGGAATGTTCCTGCTAGAAATAGAGACGGACTCCACAGAGGTGATTCATTCAATACAACAAGGGAACAAATTATATAACAACATTGTTGATAATTGCAGGTTGTTCATGCACCAGCAGAAGGTGATCCTCCAACACACCTTCAGGCAAGGGAATAGGATTGCACATCACTTGGCAAAAAAGGCAAGGCAAAAAGGGAAACAAGTTTTTGTATTACCACCATGCTATGTAAACTCTCTAGTAGAAAGTGACTAAAAGGAACTCTATGTTTGTATTAAGACTTTATCTTATGATGCTTGTAATATCCTAGCAAGCTTAAGAAATCGAAGTGTCCTTAGTGACACAAACTATGAAGGTTATGTACGCAACTAGTTATTAATATATAATATTCCGGTTTGCTCAAAAAAACATCAATATTCAATACAATTTGCACCGAAGCTGGTCTTTTAGTCGTTGAAGACGACTTTTGTTTCATTTACAAATTCCCCTAGTATTATTGGTACAGTACAGTTTACATATCACAGCATCCAAACATGGTTGATCAAGGAAAGTAGAGTAAAGACTTACATTTAATCTCTACATCCTCTTCTCTCTACGTTGACTCGAGATGAACTTAAATGGAGAATTATGGCCAGTGAGGATTCATATAGCTGACCCAAACCCAAACTTATTTGGGACAGATGCATAGTTGCTGTTATTTAATCCTATTCTCTCTACAACTAATCCACTTCTTCCCCATAAACTAGGATGAGTTTGGCACTTGTATCTGCCATGATAATATTTTTGTCCCACTGAGTGCTACCATTAAATGATAATCAATCTTCTTTATCTCTAATCTTTTCTTCATGCATGACACAAGATGCGTGCCCTTAATTTAATTGAGGTTAAAAATCAGCTAAGGCTTTTATCATAGCTAAACTGCTCCACAACAAAAGGTTGCAGTTGTCCCTTACAGGAGTAAATATTGTTGCTTGAAGAAGGAATATTATCTACGATGCTAAAGGCAATCTGAATTCTTAACTCTTGAAACTAAAGCATGCTGCTAAGAAAGAAAAAACGAACAAGCAATAGTTTCTATGCGAGTTTTTTCGACTGAAGCAGTAATCTGGCAAGACAAGATTAAGCACACAAGTAATATTTCCATATACAACTGCAATTATGTATTGCATAGAGAAACATGTTTTGCAAAAGGAAAAGTATATTACCTATTGCCCTAGATATGGCGAGAATTCCTTCAACTCGTGCTCCATCTGTAAAAACAACTTGGCCTCCACATGCCTCTATTCTGGCACGTTCTTCTTGTCTGTCTGGCTGCAATAGAGTCAAGTTACTTTTAATGAGGACAAATCATTTTCTTCGAGTAGTGAACTACTACATGGTACCGTCAGTCGTTCTCCATGGAGTTAAAAATAAATGGAGACTCCCATACTTCAGCTTGCAACTTTCCAAGGGAGAGAAGGCATGCAGACAGTAAATCATGCATGAACCTACCCATGCTCAACCATCAACTCGATAAAACGCCAGAAGTACGCTTACAGCTCTCTTAGTACATGCTCTTCTTAGGTGCACCATTAACCATTTAGTGTGCTTTGTGAATAAAAGGACCAAAAAGTGTGTATATTTAATTAAGGGTACTTAAAAGGAACAGGGCATGTTATTATACGTTTTTTTTTTTAAAACAAGGCATGTTATACGTGTAATTGAACATATGCAGTACAAATAAACTGCATTAATCTTTTATATGACTATGCATTAGCTTGATTTATGAGTACTTACGAGGACCAACACGTATGCTTTTAAGAATTCAATGTAATTTGCATTAATATAATGTTAAGGAAACAAATACTTAATAAATTGCTAAATAGTCTAGTGACTGCATGCAGTCCTGCCATGCGAGTGAGACATACCTTATGATCATAAGAAAGAGGGATGGGACTTCCACCGTGGCTAAGGACGGCGCGTGAGTCACCACAGTTGGCGACAATGATAGTTTCATCTGTCAAAATTGCAACCACGGCGGTGGATCCCGTCAGGCCCAAGGTGTCGGGTGGGCAGCCGCATTGGTAGCCTACACTTCCACACTCGGGACATGTGCATGAAGCCATCTCATCCATTCTCAGAAAGCAGCTTCTCAACACTCTTTTCCATGCCTCCTCCGTCCTCTGCCCTTCTGATGGTCGTCGTCTTTCACCACGTGAGTTGCTGCTACCACTAATGTCTGCGTTGTTTCTTACGCGCATGAGCTCTTCTTCTAGTATGATGTGCATCCTCTTGCTACATAGTGAAGCTACCTGCATTGGCATAGTATATGATACTTAGCAAGCTTTATATGGTTATAATGTACTCTCTAAAGTACAATCTTCAGTTTATTTCCTTTAGTATGATATTTATTCCCAGTTCGCTTCACTTTTTATTTTTGGGATGATCATTTCCTTAATTTTTCAACAATTTTTTAACTGTAACTTACTTAGGCAATTATTAATACAAGTATTATTTAAACAAAGAACGTGTGAGGGGTCTAACTGGGTCACAACCATAGGTGGAGCTAGCTAGGGGGCGGAAGGTTCATCCAAGCCCTCTTCAAATATTAGACTATGTAGGTAAGGCCATGTTTTTTCATGTATAAATAATATTAAATTCCGTCGACTTCTTCGAATATTTACTTTTTAAACTTTTGAATCCCCTAAAAACCCCGCCTTCACCGCTAGTCACGACTATAAGACCATCTCCAACCCAACTTTATTTTTTACACCAAACACTATTTTGATGTAAGATTTGGTGTTTTGGTGCTCCAATCCAAAATCATTTCTTACACCATTTTGATGTGTGAATAGTGTTATACCAGATTTGGTGTAACACTATACATCAACATTATTACTATTCATCAATATTTTATTATTATCTTTTATTGTATAATACTTTTAATTTAACATATTATAAATTTTGTAATTACTTATACTTTTTATGTAATATATTTATAATATTTATTTTATATTTTAATTTTGGTGTATAATTTTTATTAATTAATTTTCGTATATTTTATTTTTATATAAAATTATAAGTTAATTTTATTATAAGTTATAATTGTATATATATAACCATCAAAAAAATGAAAAGTGCAAATCTGAAATATAATACTCCTATGTTGTTAATAAATAACACAATGTTTTGCAAATCTGAAAGGATTTATTTTATGAAATAAAAAAATAAATTTAAATAAAAGAAAATGATATAATATAGAAGGAGAGAAGAATATAAAAGGAATATTCTTTTTTGGTGTAAAAAAATAGTGTAATGGATTGAAGTTAATTTGTATCATTTTAGTGTTTATACCATTTTGGTGTAAAAAAATAGTGCAAGGATTGGAGATGCCATAACAGGTAGATATTCACTTTTAGTTTATCAAGAGTCAAACAACCAGAATTTTTTTTTGTAGATTTAAATCATAATTTAAAATAATATTTTTACTACTCCCTCTGTTTGAATTTATGTGGCGGTTTGTGAATTTCGAGAATCAATCGTGAGTTTGGATATAAAATCTTTAAACTTTTGTGAATTCTTTTTTTTTACATACTCCCTCCGTTTCAACTCATGTGAACCCATTTGACTGGGCACAAAATTTTAGAAAAGAGAGAAGACTTTTAAATTTGTGGTGTAAAATAAAGCACATATATTTTGTGTGGCTATAAATCATTGCATAAAGGTAAATTGTTTCCAAATAGGGAAAGGGGTCATTCTTTTTTGCACGGACTAAAAAGTAAATAGGTTCACATAAATTGAAACGGGTAGTATTTAGAAACTACGATAAAAGTATTACTAAGTCATAATAATTAATTATTCAAATATTTAATTGCTAGATTGTAATTAAAAAAAAAAAAGACTTGTTTGGCACACACGGAGGGAGTAGCAGTTATTGAAAAATGGTGAATCTAACTCTATGAAGTGGTAAACGCATGTAAAATTAATGGTCAAACAAAGAGAGAGGTGGAGAAAAACCGTATGGTTTACATGACGTCCACCATGTCCATCGTAAATAGCAAAGAAATCAACTGGTCGGCGGCTATTGATCTCCGGCGAACAAAGATTTGGTCGAATAGAAACTGCATCTTCCATTACTCGCTGCCTTCCTGATACAGAAATTGCACCAACCATCGGCCCTGCACCTGTTGCTGTCTGACTTGCGGCGGCCGAAGACTCCATCTCCACTAAACCGACTCCCACGCGCACTCCCTTTCCTTGGCCGAAAGCTTTTGACGAGGAACAACCACCAGAGGCAAGTAGTTTCGCCTGCAGAAGCCTTCTCATTCGAATTCTACGGCGGCGGTGCTTGGGGCATTTCTCGCTATCTTCGTCGCTGAACATTCCAGTTGTGTAACCTCTACTGACGTTAAATGGCATTTATATGAAAAGCAAATACTAGTAGCTACTTGTAGTTCTGTACCTTCAAGTCGTTAACGTACGATACATGTGTGTGTATACGTGTACGTATATATGTCTGCATGTCGTTTATTTTCATAGAGTGACCAAAAAAAAAGGTGCCGGGCCGGAGTGGTGTGTTTAAGTTGACTAGCTAGGATGCATTACAGAAAATAATATAGGCATTAATATTTGGTATTACTAATTTCTTATTTGGTATATTTTTTTAACCTTTGTATTATCAATATAAGTATTAATTATATAACTTATTTTGTATTATCTTGTGTATAATTAATAGTATATAACAAACTATAATATTAATAATACCAAAGCTATTAATACATATAATAATATGGTTAAAGATAAAATTATCCTAAAAGTCTCTTAAAACTAAATAATATGGGAGGTACTCCCTCCGTTTCAATTTATATAAACATGTTTGACTGAGCATGGAGTTTAAGAAAAAATAAAAATTTTTGAAATTTGTGATCCTAAACAAGTCAAAAATGGGCCCAGAGTATTTGTATGGTTATAAAGCTTCTCATTAAGAATATAATTAAAAATTTAAGCTAAATTATTTTCAAAAGAGATTTTTTTTTTTAAAACGGACCAAAAAAATATATTTAGATAAACTAGAACGAAAGAAGTATTTTTGTAAACAATTACTGAGTACATCTTATTCAACACTACTGGTGTAGACCGTACCAAAGTCCACTAAGGGATGCGTAAAGTGTGTGGAAACAAGCTGTGTACGCAGCAACTTCTTCTTCCAGAGAAATGCCCGAGGTAACCATTTTGAGCTACTGAACTGACACGTCTCGAAGATGACACTTTTATCTTTTCAACTTGTATTCTCCACCTAGTCAAATCCTCGTCGACATCGAAAGTTGCTTGACACTTGTCGACAATGACCTGTACGCAACATTGACAATGAAAAAGTCTTAAGCCAAGAGGTGGCCCACTTTTACTCTTTAGAACTAGCTTTGCCTTTTTTTCTACGTACTTTGCTGAGTAGTCTTTTGTAATAGGGCCAAGTTGCAAATTTATTTTGAAAATTATTTTCTTAAAAGTAATTTTAGTGAGAAATAGTTTGTATTTGGTTAATTAATTAAAAAGTATTTTTAAGCAGCAATTAGTGTTTGGTCAAGTTTTTAAAAACTGCTTCTAAGTATATTTTTCTCAAAAATATTTTTTAAAAAATACTTTTGGTGAGAAACTACTTTTTTCTACTTCTCCTCAAAAACACTTTTTTTCTTCCAAAAGTTTGGCCAAACACTTCCGTATGGGTCTAAATTTTCCTTCAAGAGATTTAAAATGAAGTGGCATTGTGAAAAGTAATATGGCCGAGGTCGAAAGCTAAACAGTGGAGATTATAACTGAGCAGTCGATAACGACTGAGGTCAAGAATCGAAGGCGGCAGTAACAGCTAGTTTTGTAATAGGATCTTTAGAAGAATATTCTAGTGAATATTCTTTGTATTTGTATTTTTAGGGTTGACTGGGAATATGTCCCGAATAAATAGAAAGAGATAAGGCGAAAGGCATGTAATATTCTCTGATAAGAACATTCTTCAAAAAAGCGGACTTTCTCTCTAGATAAAAGACAAACATTACCTTTCTAAAGAGATTCGATTGTCTATTATTCCATAACTTTTCCATCAGATCCGAAAAGGATCCCAATATTCTCGTATTTGTCTTTCATCCATCATTGTCAGGAGAAGGAGTCATCCACCTCATTCAATATTGGGTTAATCATTCTCCTTATTTAATTTAATGTCATTTATTGTTATTTAATTCTTGACATTCCCTCCACATTAATGGTCTTGAAACATTAAATCTTCTTCCATCGCTACTCTACATCACTCTATTAACCGATTATAGAACTGAAATTATTATTATTAACTAAGTTTAACCCCTCATTATATATATTTAATTAATTTAATCAAAAATCTACATTTTTTGGTCAAACAACTCAACTTTGAAACAAAAGAACTTTGTTTGAAAAAAAAAGTGCTTGTAGGATTGAAGAAACTTGGCCAAGTAGACTATAATTCTGGAACTCACGTAGAAATAAAAAATTCTCCCTCCGTTCACTTTTACTTGTTCAGTATTTTAAAAATAAATTTTCACTTTTAGTCATCACTTTTATTTTAATTTTTTTTCTTGTTATACCTGTAAGCATTTAAATTTTATCGGATTTAAATTCATAAAATTATTTGGACTATATTTTAAATTCGAGATATATTGGTCCAAATAAATATTATGGGCTAATATATAAATGAAGTAATTATATAGGTCCAATATAAATGGATTAAATAAATAAGTCTTAATCCATTGGGCTAGCCTATTTAATTGGGCTAAAGTGATGAGCTCACTCCATTAAGCCCAAGATGTCATCTTCCTAGAGGCCCAGTTTGGTGCCACGTGTCAAATGACGTGGCGCGCCAAATCAAACGGAAGAGCCAATAGGATCATTCCACGTGTCAAAGTGACAAGGCATTCCAAATCACACTAAAAGGCCAATGAAACTGCGCCACGTGTGCAAATGACATGTTCTGGCCAATCAAATGCGGTCATGTCACACTTCAATTTGATTGGTCGAAAAGAGTTTGTTCTTATCACAACTCCTCCTTTTCACAACTATAAATAGGGGTCTTTATAACTCAGAAAAGAGATCAGAAGTTATAGCAAGAAGCAAGAGAGAACTCGTGGATCAAATGCCGTAAATTTCTCTACAAGTTTCAAGCTTCAAGCAATCAAATTCAAGCTCAAGAACGAAGAACAAATCAAGGTCAAGTTCAAGCAATCAAACTCAAGCTCAAGAACAAGATCATCGTTCGTGGCAACAAACATAGATTCAAGATCAAGCTCAAAGGCCCTTGAATTTATTTACTATTGAAAAGAAGAATCAGAGGATTCATAGAGATTGTAACACTCAAATATTCGAAATAAAATACTACGATTGTTGTGATATTTTCGATCTTGATTTTATTTTCTCAATGCAAATTTATTGTCTACAAATTCTGGCACGCCCACTGGGACAATCTCTACCTCTCATCTCAACTTTTCAATCACCAAAGTTCAAGAACATTGAAATGGCTTCGAAGAAAATCAACTCCAGATCAACATCCACCAAGGTTGCTAACTCCAGGTTCTATGCAGATTNTTGACAAGCTAACAAATAGGGTGGGAATCTTGATGGAAGAAGAATCTACCCATGCACCCGGCAAGATCCCAGAAGTTCTAGAGAGTGACTCTCCCCAAGACAAGCAGCATCCACTAAGGCTATCTTTGTCTCATCTGAAGGGATGATTCCAATCGATCAACTGAAGGAGTTCATCGAAGGAACCATTAAGAACAAATATGAAGTTGCTGTCAAATCCTCCCTTACATATGCAAAGTTGTACACTGCAAGGGTCGATATGTTGAAGATACCTGCTGGCTATCAACCTCCGAAGTTTCAACAGTTTGATGGTAAAAGTAACCCAAAGCAACATATGTGCACTTCGTGGAGACGTGCAACAATGCTAGGACTTATGGAGATTACCTCATCAAGTAGTTTGTCCGCTCGCTAAAAGGAAATGCTTTTGACTGGTACACGGACCTCGAGACTGGATCTATCGACAGCTGGGATCAACTAGAGCAAGAGTTTCTCAATTGCTTTTATAGCACAAGACGCACAGTGAGTATGATAGAGCTTACAAATACTCGTCAACAAAAGGGGGAACCAGTTATCGACTTTATCAATCGTTGGAGGATTGCAAGCTTCAACTGCAAAGACAGGCTTAGTGAAGCTTCAGGCATAGAGATGTGCATCCAAGGCATGCATTGGGGATTGTGCTACATCTTGCAAGGTATCAAGCCTAGCACATTTGAAGAACTTGCAACTCGTGCCCATGACATGGAATTGAGCATGGCCTCCGCTGGAAATGAAAGGCTACCCATCTATGAACCTCGCAAAGTGAATGACAAGCAAGAAGTCAGGAAGTGGGGCAAGTTCGTACCCAAGACTGAAAGCAAAGAAGCTATGAATGTCAATACGTCACCTATGAAGTTCACGATGAAGGTGAGCAAGAAGCAGAGTATGAAATCCACTTCTTTTCAAGACAAGCCAAGTGGAAAGTTGACTCTAAAAGAAATGCAGGAAAAAGAGTACCCATTCCCGGATTCTGATGTGCCAACCATTTTCTAAGAACTCCTCGAGTTAAATCTCATTGAGCTTCCGGAGATGAAGCGACCAAATGAAGCTGGTAAAACAAATGACTCAAACTACTGCAAATATCACCGGTTTGTAAGCCACCCTCTGGAGAAGTGCTTTGTCTTCAAGGATAAAGTCATGGATTTGGATCGTGAAAAGAAGATTGTGCTTGAAGATGAGAAATCAAGTGCAAACCAAGTCTCTATAACCTTTGGCTCATTCAGTCCGGATGACTTATGTGGTTTTAAAGAAAGTAAAGATGAAGAATTATTGGAGAGCGATAAAGCTGAAGTCAATCAACCTGATGACGATGAAGTTTGGACATTTGTGACTTGTCGTAGACACCACAAAAGGAGCCCACAGAAAGAATCAATAGAACAACCAACAAGGAAGATGATGGTAAAAAGGCCAACGAAAAAGAATCCAGTTAGGCATTTGAGGAAAGCAAAAGTGGAGATGCACCATTCTCAAAAGCCACGATATCCAGTAACCTTGGAGGAGTTCTTACCAAGTTGGTTCCGCACGAAGATTTCCCATGAGGGCAATGATGCCTCTTGTTGCCATGCTGACAAAGGGGAAGAAAAGAGTGATGACCTACCATTGGCGCCATCTTCGGAAAAACCCATCANAGATATGCAATCAAGTGCATGGCTGCATGTGATCGACGCGAAGACTTCATACAATGTTTTGCTTAGGAGGCCTTGGATACATGAGAATAAAGTAGTTCCATCTACCTACCATCGATGTTTAAAATATTACGAGGGTAAAGTTGAGAAGACGGTAGTTGCCGATGATGAGCC